TTCAAATATCTCTTGTCATTGTTGAGTGCAGTCAAGTTCAAACTGACCCATAGCCGGCCCTCCAGTGGGTTTTCACAGGCAGTACATCACACGGGAGATGACTGCCCATCTTTCTCTCATAGAGCAGCTGGTAGATTTGAACTGCGTACCTTTGTACAAGAAGAAGCTGCACTGCAATCCTGAAGATATGAGGTTCAAATCCACCTGCTGCTCCTGGGAGAAGGATGGAAAATCTCCCATCAATTAACTGCCTTTAAAAACCTGCTGGTAGGGAGCTCTGGTGACCTAGTGACAAAAGAAGCTGCACAGCAATCTCTAAGGTTGGATGCTGTTCTGGAGAAGAGGGGGCAATCTCCTCCTACGCCAATTGGTTCTGATTCAATGGTACACAAGAAAAAAAGCCCAAACACCAAAACAAAACCCACTGGAAGGAGGGACTGGAGAGCATTATGCCAAGTGAACTAACTTAGTCTCATAAGGACAAATACTGCATAAAACCATTATTGTAGAAATAGATAACTAGTGAAACATGTATGAGGATCTAAGGGGGGAGGGAGGAGCACAGGGGTGAGGATGGGTAGGGGTCAGGGGATAATCATAGGGTCATACCATTTGATGGGTGGAGGGAGGGGTGGGTTAAGGAAATGGGAACGATCTGGGTATCACACAACAACCACCTTTGTGTTGACAGCCCTATTCACTACCCTAAGCCACCAGAGCACCCTGCAATGCTCTCTTAGTCCTGTGAATGAATGATGCTTTTCCTCAGAACCTCAGCAAAGGCCCCTGGTTCCAGCTCCGTGGGTTCCAGCTGTAGGAGCTCCAGCTTCATGAACTCCGACTCCAGGGCTCCAGCTCCGGGGCCTCTGGCTCCATGGCCTCAGGCTCCGTGGGCTCTGGCTCCTGAAAACAGTCTCAAGTCTGCTCTTTCTTATGTTGGTTTCGGTTGTCTAAAGCTCTTCTCTGGGTCCCTGCCTAACTAGCACAGAAATCTCTGGCCCCAAAGGATACCCAATATATTCTCTGCTTGATGGAAGTAAAATTGCCCATTCTACTGTAATGAGATCTCTGATAGCAAATTTGCTTAATGCAACACTCCTTTTGATTTCTTTCTTTTAAAAAAAATTATTTTGTGTATATGTACCGTCAAATCGGATCTGACTGGTACAAGAGGAGATTGTCCCTCTTTCTCCAGCAGAGACCTTTTGATATCTTGACTGCTGTTACTATGGTGCTGAGTGTGGATCCAAGTAAGAAGAAATTGTTAATTTTAATCTTTTCTCTATTCATCATGGTGATTTTGGCTATTGGCCAAGTGGTGAGGATTTTTGAGATGCAACTGCTACTGAAAGCTTTGATCTTCTTCAGTAAAGGGCTCTAGTCTTCTTCCCTTTCTGTAAGAAAGATTATGTCATCTGAATAATACAGGCTGATTGGCCTTCCTCCAATTCTAACACATGCTTCTTCACACATTCCAGTTTCTCAAATTATTTGTTTAGCTCAACCTACATACTGAATAAGTATGGGTGGGGAAAGGAGAGCACCCTGACTGATGCATCTTTACCTGATTTTAAGCCCTACAATGTCCCTTTGTCCAATGTCAAACAACAACTGTTACTTGGTCTCTGTATAGATTTCACCTGAGTAAAAAAAAGTGCAAACTAGTAGAAGGAAGGTCTGATGGCCCAGTGGATAAGGTGTTGTACTGCCAATCCAAAGGCAGGCTGTTCAAATCCATCAGCTGCTCCAAGAAAAACAGATAGGCAATCTGCTCCTGTAGGATTTACAGCCTCTGGGTGGGGCGGGGGGAAGCCACTGAAAGCCACTAGAGAGTCAGCTGTGAGTCAGTTCTCTCTGGACTGGATATAACAACAGAATCAGTGGACAGAGAAGGGAGGTTTATGGTGCAGGCCTTGGGAAAGGGCTGAGGGAGCGCGCTGACCAGAGGATCCTTTGAAGAATGTTTGATGAGCTGCTCTTCCTTCCTCTTGTGTCTGTTTGGTCCCACTTGGCTTTTTTCTTCTTGTTGGAGAGAAGTCTTCCCAGGCCTGTCCTCTTCCACAACTTCATAATGCTGCCAGGTCCTCTGAGGAGGACACTCAAGCTCCTCACACACACTAGAGAGGCTGCAGCAGCCCCTCTGCTAACCTTGACTTTGGTCTGTTACCCTAGGCCTGACTTTGGGCTGAGTGTGTGCTGCAGTGGGTAACACTGGGGTTTCTCTTCTGTGAGGGCCCTTACCCTTGTCATAGCTGACCCTGCCACAGCTTTGTCTCTCCTGCTTCAGATCATTAGAGGTGAAATGAGAGGACTATGAGAGGCTTTGATCTTGACCTTCCGGGCTGGATTGATGCTTAGCCAGGACAGGTAACACGAGAGGGAACAGCAATCTCGTATGTGAACCCAGGGGCCAGGGTCTGGTTCTTTGTTGTAATGGTTTGGGATCTACCATTTTAAGATCTCCAATCTTAACCATTTTTTTTTCTTAACCATTTTTATATACAACATTCTACGTGCATGAATTAGAGTGATGTTTTAAACCACGTGATTTAAAATCAGAAAACGTATGTTTTAGGGTTGTATCCTTTCTTCATACATATTCAGTCTGTAAGCTAAGTCAACAACTAGTGAAGCTGGGCATCACTTGATGATGATCATTTGATGAATTTGGCATCAGGCTTGGAGGAAGCACCATCGACAGCCTGTGCAGGCGGATGACAGCCTTGCTTGCAGGAAGTGAAGAGAACTTGAAGCACTTACTGAAGATAAAAGACTACAGCCTTCAAAATAGGCAACATCTCCACATCAAGAAAACAAATCCTCACCACTGATCCAACAGGCGGACACAAGGACAATGGACATTTGTCAATGATTTCATTTTACTTGGATCCATAACAAACATCCATGGTACCCACAGCCAAAAAATCTAGACATGTTGCATTAGAAAAATCTGCTGTCAAAGACCTCTCCAAAGTGCAAAAGAGCAATGATGTCAGGTTAAAGACTAAGGTGCATCCGATCCAAGCCAGGTTCTTTTCTTTAAGTTGTGAATGATTTAATCTTACTTGGATCCATAGTCAACATCCTTGGTATTTGTTGTTGCTGATTGCCTTTGCCTAATCATGGCTATTATATCATTCTCTGAGGGTGCCCCAGGACAGGGCAGGATTCAGATCTGTTGTTCATAGGGTTGTTATGAGTTGTTGACTGGGAGCACCTAAAGCCACCATGACCACTTCTTACCTTCATCCTTTCTGTATATGGTCCCAGTTGTCTTAAAGCATGTAATAAATGATCCCTCTTTGTGTGTCTTAAAGGAGCCCTGGTGGTGCAGTGGTTAAGCACTCAGCGAAGGTGGTTCCCATCAACTGCTCCACAGGAGAAATACACAGCATCCCGCTTCCATTAAGACCACAGGCTTGTACACCAGTGGGGCAGTCCTGCAGCACTGCTGAGTCAGAATCACTTAGATAGCAATGGGTTTTTTGTACCTAATGAAAGACAAAGCTCAGTTTCATTATTGCTTCAGCACCATCCCTGCAGACGGTCATTGCTGCTATAGCAACCCTATGAGAGTCAACTCTCAAGTTTTCAATGGCTATTTCAATGGCTATTGTCCCTCATAATAAAAGACACCATGCTGGGGAAGGTGGAGGGCCAAGAAAAACGAGGAAGCCCCATCAAGATGAATCAGAACAGTGACTGTTTCCAGTCCATCAGAGATGGTGAAGCTGGCTCAGGGCAAAGTTCAAGGTCCCTATGAGGCGTAGTCGACCCACAGCACATAACATGGTCTTTCACTGGGTCTCCAGACTTTCCTTCCAAGGCATCTTTGGGTGAATATCAATCATCAGCTTATCAGTTGGTAGGCAAGCCCTTAACTGCTACCATAAAATTATTAGGTGCTGTCCGTTCATTTCCAACTCATAGCTCCCCTATGACAGAAGGATCTCTTGCACAGGTTTTTCTTAGCTGTAATCTTTTATAGAAGCTTCTGAGAGATTGTAACATGGACCTCACCAGACCTCCATTGTGACACAAAAGCTCCCTGCTGTGGAGTCGATTCTGACCCGAGAACCCCCATCAGCTTTCAGAGACTATAAATCAAAAAGGGAAGAAATGCTCCTTTTCCCTTGGTGAGATTCGAACTACTCAACACTCCACAGCCTTTGGGTTAGTGGCACAACTCGCTATAGATCGGCAAACACAAAGACAATGAGAAACCACTTTTATTTTATTCCAACCACTTATCTATATCTAATCATTATTGATGCTAAACAAAAAAGCATAAACACATGGTTTTGGTGATCAATTCTGTTGAAACAGTGAGGGAGAGAATGTAAACATGCAAAAAGTAGTGCTGGGCCTCAGGAGGCGCCAACGATTGTCTGTAGTAGTATCCCTCCCTTTAACAAGGGTCTGCTGGCCTAAAGGCTTCTGGTGTGGGAGAGATCCAATGATTGAGAGACCAGATTCACTGCTCACCACCCCGGGCCTAGAACTTCTGTCCTCCTCCTCAGTTCCTATCAGGAACTGGGACCTGGTATGTTTACAAAGCACAGAATGGAATGGGTATTTTCAGGGGGAGGAGATGGAGTTTCTGCTGCTTTAAAAAATAAAAACATATCCTCTCTTTTAAGAAGCAGCAAGGATTGTATTGTTGTCTTCATTTACCACGTTATGGAGTGAATCAGTTTTATTCTTTGGTTCTCATCAATGAACAGAAGGCTGGAAACCAGAAGTTTCCAGCTGACAATCTGTCCATTCTCAGCCAGATCCTCTGGAAAGCCGCCCAGGATGTCTTATCAGAGCTCAGCAATCCCTCCGTCTATGACTCACGTAAGTGCTTAGGATGGGGGATGGAGGGCAGGGATGGGATGTGAGAATAGGGCAGAGGTAAACGGGCCCTAAGTTGGGATCAGGTGACTTGCTAGGTTCAAGAGATAGGCTTACATCAACACCCGCCCCGGGAAGTGTCCAGTCAGGGTGACACTGGCCCCCTAGGGCCTTGGCATCCGGGGCACGGGCACTCCATCTGCCGAGCAGCTGCACTTCTGCACCCGCATGTTGGGCAGGCTCACCACCTGGGGCCTGGTCCTGCCTCCCTCCTGGACGTTGACGATGATGGGCAGCGAGGCTGTCTCTGAGGCCACACACTGCCGGGGCCCCATAAACGGCCAGTGGAAGGGCAGGATCTGCTGGACCTGGCGGCAGGAGCCCACACACTCGTAGGTCAAGAAGCCCGGGGGCTCCAGGATCCAGTTCTCGGTCCACCTCATGCCCTGCAGGTCAATGTACATCTCTTGGCGGCAGCAGCGAGTGCCCTCGGTCACTGGCACGTCGGGGTCACAGTCGCCCTGAGCCCTGCAGGGACAGAGAAGCACAGTCAGAGCTCAGAAGGGAGGGGTGGGAGCCCAGCCTGGCCATAGGGGCCACGAGGAGAGAGGTTTACCACCCATCTCTGAACGTGCTCTGAAAGCTGCTGTTCGTGCTACAGGATGGAGGCCTAGCCCAACCCTGTTCCTGTTGTTGTGACCCTCCAGTGTGATAACTGCACGGGAGGAGACTGCCCACTGTTCCCCTGAGGAGCAGCTGGAGGTTTGAACCTCATGACTTGGTGACTGCAGCGCAGCTCCCCGGTCACCCGTGGTAATCACCAACCCGTAGGCCTTCAGGTCCAGAGTGTGCAGCTCCAGCTGGGGCTCCTGCGGCCCGGCGCCCCCCGCAGCCTGCGAGGCGAAGCGCACCAGCTTGTGGGCGTCGGAGGCCCCCGCGCCCAGGTGCTCCTTCTGCACCGTCACCTGCAGCAGCAGCGGCTGGTGAGGCCGGCTCAGCTGCTGCCACAGGCTCACCGCCTCCGTCACGTCGAAGGCCTTCCAGCCGCTCTCGTGCAGGGACACCAGCCTAGGAGTGGATGCGCGGGTGTCACAGCGGGCCGGGGGCCCTGGGTACCTCCCCCGCCTCGGGGACGACCCCCGGAATTGGCTCCACCTCCGGCATCACCCGCGCCCCCCCATCCGTGTCCCCCACCCCCATGCGTCACCTGGAGTCGACCAGGGAGGTGCTGTTGGCCCCGTCGGCGCGCACGCGCAGCCACTCAACGGAGACCCGGGCCCGCGCTCCCCGCGGGAAGAGCTGCTCCTGCCTGCGCAGCGCCGCCGGGGACACCGGCTCCTGGAAAAGGCGCAGCACCGCCTGCACCAGCTCGCTGTCGGGCGGCAGCCTCTGCTCCATGCCGAACACCAGCAAGTGCCTGGTGGCCTCGGACATCAGGAACCTCCCCGCCACCTCTGAGGAACACCGCAGCGTTAGCAGGGCCTCTGAGAGAGGCCAACCCCTGTGCTGTCTGTCATCAGGCGCTCCAGGGAGAGCCCACGCGTCCCAATAGAATGTGCTCCCTGACCTGCCAAGTCAGCAGTCTGTCCTCGGCACCCCCTGAGTGGGATCAAACCTCCAACCTTCTCTTCAGCCCCGCATTACCCAGTTTACAAGCCCACTGCCTGTAGGTCTATTTTAATCCTGGGTACACTTTGTGCCTCACTAACTCACCCTAACGTGCTCTATCTACCCTCAGCCGTATGGCTGTGGAGTAAGAACGGCTCAGAAGCTGGCCTTCTCCGCGTTTCTGAGGCTGTAAACGGGCACACGATGGGATAACTCGCTGTCTCCCTCAGAGTTCATGGTCTCCATTGCTGACTGGCAAGACGAGCGACTTCCGCTGGGAATTGAACCCAAGCCTCCTGCCCCGAGGCCAGGATTCTACCACAGCGCCACCAGTGCCTTCAGACTAGCAGTGTACTCGCAGGCTAGGTGGGGGGACCCTCACACTCGTTGATGAGGTGTCAGAATTCACTCGCAGCCTCTCTCCTGACAGTTTCCAGAGGAAGAGCTTGTGTGGAGCAGCTGGTGGATTCGAACAGCATGCTTTGGGGTTGTCAGCACAACTCCCTACTCACTAGAGTAGTGACCATTTTCACAGGCTAGTGAAGGCAGTATTAAACCAAGTCCCAAAAGTCCGGAGGACCGCACTGCTTGGTGGCCCTGCCACACCCACCTCTCTCTGGGTTCTACTTTTCCTTCTCTTCGTCCTTAATCCCCCTGTGAAATCTCGGGCCCTAAAACCAGAGGCCTGAGGTCCTGCATGCTCATGGGGCCATCTCCCTCATTGCCCCTTGGCTCATGGACACGCTTCCCCAGGCCTCCCACGCTCCAGAATCCCAGCCAGGGTCCCCTTGGACACCACAGAGCAGGTTCCATGCTCCCCCACCAAAGCACAGCAGGGTGGGAGGCCTCACCTCGGAATTTCTGGCTGAATCTCTTCCCTCGCGAGAGGACCCTGTGGCTGCGCTGAAGCAGGTCCACGTACTGGGCTCTCACGTGGGCTGGGATAACCAGCTGCTCCCCTTCGGCCTTGTCCAGCACGGGCACCTCGCTGAGATGCAGCTGCTGGAGCACGCTGCTCCTGATCTCCTCCTCAGTCAGGCCTGCGCCGGGACCAGCCAGCAGCGCCCCCAGAACCCAGCACAGCCACAGCGGCTGCATCATGCCGCCCTCAGGGAGCGGGTAGCAGAGGGAGTGAGAGTAGGAAGGGGCTTACAAAGGGGTGCACAGCATGTGTTGAAAGCCAAGGCCGGGCCATTTTTATAGGCATCCTGGGCTGAGCCTGGGAGTGGGAGGGGCTAGGTGGGAGGAGAGAGAACGAGAGAACGCGGGCACACCCCTTGGACCTCCTGGGGGCTCTGCGGCCAGACAGGTCCCTGAGCCTCCAGGAGGGGGAATGTCTGGAAAGGCTAGGTCGCCTGAATGGCCTCAGCCGCTCCCTTCCGTCTTGCAAAAAGTGAATGAAGAGTGAGTCCCTGGGCCAGACGGTGACTTTTCCAAACCTGAGTCTTAAGCCTCGTGCCAGCAGCCACTTGAGTCATTCCCAGAAATAAAAATTGGAGGCAGAAATTTAAAAATTTCTACCTGTCTTGTATTGTCCAAAGACAAAAGTTCTAGACACACTAGCAGGAGGCCCCGATGTCTGTCTTTAAAAAAAATGTATGACTTTGAGTTCATATCCTCCTGCCTGTTAATGCGGCCTGTATTTCACTCCTCTGATCTTCTCATCTGAAAGGAAAGACAAATTGTTTACTTGGTCGGGTTGTTGTACAGAGTAAATGAATGAAATGCATGTGATGTGTTCTGCCCGTGCCCAGCACGCTGGAAGAATTCCCATCATTACTGGGCTGATCTCTGCTTTTATAGGTGTAGATTCCTCTAAGGACACCTGGTCCACTAGCAGCACTCAGCTCTCCAGTAACCCGAACCCTGGAACTCACTCACAGTGAGCAGTCTCCACATTTAAACACACAACTGTGTTTGGGATTCCCCACGCCACACACACACAACTGCGTTTTGTTATACTTAACTCAAAAGGAGTAAACAGATTTTATTCATATTTCAAAATTATCCTTTACATTAAGCCTGAGATCAAGCATGAGAAAGTTCAGCCTGAAGCCAGACTTTTTTCCCCCCAGCCAGTGTTTGATGTCACTCTCTGATGAATAGCAAGTAATTGCAGAGACCATGGCCTGAATCAGGCACACCTTATTCTCTAGACTGACTCCGTTGCTGCTCAGCACTTTTGAGAGGTCCTGACAGCAGCCTTCCCCAGAGCAATTCCTTGTTGATTTCCTGACTGCTGGCACCAAGAGTGTTGACTGTGGAACCAAGTATGCTGAAATTCTTAACAACTTCAATCTCTTCTCCGTCTGTCATGGTCCTGCCTTTTGGCCCAGTGGTAAGAATCTTTGTCTTCTCAATGCTCAGCTTCAATCCAAGATTGCAGTCCTGACCTTCTGCAGCAAACACCTCAGGTCATCCTCAGTTTCTGTGAGAAAGGTTATGTCATATACATAACATAGGTTGTTAAAAGACAATTTCCCAAAGAGAAGTCTCTGAGAGCTTCATTCATCTTTTGGATTCACACCTAAGGTTACTCAGGCCATGTACCCCAAGCCAGAATACTGTTATGGAGGGAGAGTGATACACAGAAGCAAAATTAGATTACACAGTAAGCATCATATAAACAGACACTCAGTTAGGAGCCAATGCAGACCTAGTATTGTTTCCTTGGCAACCAATCTTCATTCTTCTAAATGGCCACATTTTCTTGATGCAAAAGAAACTCTGGTGGCCTAATGATAAAGTGTTACACTGTCAACCCAAAGACACGAGATTCAAATCCACCAGCTGCTCCTTGGGAGAAAGATGGGCAAGTCACCTCCTGTGTGATTTACTGCCTCTGAAAATCCACTAGCAGGTCAGCTAGGAGTTGGTTCTGAGTCAAAGATAAATATCAATGGCAATTCTTGATACAAACCCTTGGAGGTGTTTCCACAAGCACTAAAGGGAAGAAGGCAGAGGGACCTGAGAGTCCAGCTGCGGAGACCCCTCCTGGCACTGGGGACTTGAGGGTGGACAGGAGGAAGCCCTGCTCAAAACAACACAGCTTCCCTCACCCCATGTGGGAGGTGAGGACAGTGACTGCGGTTAACACTCTGTCACTGGAAGCCATTCATGTCACCCACCTGCCTCCACTTTCCTCGTCACCCCAGACGAGAAGGAGAGAACCTTCTGGTGCTCAAGGGCATCCATGAAAGACCAGGTACCAGGTAGTGACTGTAGCCTGGGGACAGTTGGAGGGGCTTTGGTAGGAAGTACAGGCTGGAGCTTAGAAAGTAACTGAGGGAAGGAATAATAAAAACACCCAGGGTGTTTTCTTCCTAGTGGTTAATTGTGCTAATGGGCCGTGCACTGTTCTAAGTGCTTTACATACATTAACTCTTTATGCTCCCAGCTGCGTGGTGAGGAAGTTGCCATTATCATTCCCATTTCATAGATAGGGAAGCAGGCACAAAACTGACAAAACCTGGGTCACATTACTGTAAATGCCAGAGTGCAGGTTGTTGGGAGGAAAGGGAAGGAGGACGGAGTTAAACGGAAGCATGAGGGGAGATCCGAAAAAATCAGAGCATTTTCAGGGAGAAGCAACTCAGGGGGGCGGCACAACTGTGGTCTCAGCTTCTCGGTTCCCTTTTCCTTCCCCACCCCCTTCACCCTTACTCCCACGTAACACATGCCATTCACAAGGTGGCCCTCAAATCCCATCTCAGAGCTTCCATTTCACTAGTTTGGTCGCCCCTTGAAATAGAAGCCGCACCTCCATGTCCGGTCCAAACATGCCCTCCTGCTCGCTCTGTGACAAGTGGAGCTTGCTTTCAAAGATTATCTGTGGCTTGTCTTTGCAAGTGATTAGCAAGGAAAGGACTTACTCGAGGCAGACATTTGGGCCTTAAGACAGGCCAAAAGGTGCAGAAGTGTCACATTTACTGGCAGCTCCAGACCAGAGAACCCCAGGCCTCAGTTCCCACAACGACTACAGGCTGGTGTCCCCTAAACATGTTGGCCATGCTCTTGGCCGGACTGGTGCCAAGGAGAGAACACACAAGCTGCCCCCAGTCTTCTCCTCTAGAGAGAGGTCTACAGCTGGAGGCTTCGGGGCTTCTGTGATGGCTTCAATAGTACCTGCTGTCCCAGAACTGCTGCTGGCCAGCACACACCCTCAGGCACTCATGGGGCCCTGTCCACCAAGAAGAAATCTTAGGGCTCAGGCTCTCTGAAAAGTCTCAGGGTGGCTAGACCCCTCTGTACCTGGCCTAACTGTCCAAGTAAATGAAAACCTTGATTTGTAGAGAAAAGAGTAAAATGGTAGGACTCTCCTTTGCTTGATTTCCTGCCTCCCCTAGGAGATCTGGTGGCTTCATTCATAGTGACCCTGTGAACAACAGATCAGAACCCTGTACCATCTTCACAATCTCTGAGATACTCAAGCCCGGTGTTGCAATCATTGTGTTAGTTCCTCTGGTGGCTTAGTGGTGAAGAATTACTCTGCCAAGGCAAAGGTATGAGGTTTGAATCCACTAGCCGCTCTGCTGGAGAAAGATGGGTGATCTCCTCCTATGGGATTTACTTCCTCTGAAAACCCACCAGAGGGTCAGCTAGGGGTTAGTTCCAATTTGATGGTAAATAACCGCAGCCACTAGGTTAGGTGAAAGAGAGGAAGACACTCAACGAGATGGAGTGGCCCAGCCACTGTAACAATGAGCTCAAGCGTATCACGGATGATGAGGCATTGTTCACAGGGCTGCTATGAGTCATACTCGGCTTGATGGCACCTAACAATAACAACAACTATTTGTCCTGCTAGTGGTTGTAGGTCAGCATCTCAGGACACAGCTGACTATGGAAAAGAGCCCTTAGCAGGGAAAGGTGGGGCAGGGGGCTGAGGACCTATCCAGCCGGCAGGGTGGCCCCGGGCTGGCGGGAGCAGGTGAGCCACAGCTGAGAAATGACCCTGGAGGGGAAGAAGTGGAGGAACCTGGGAGCATTTGGAACCAAGTACATGTTTGCCCAGCTCTGGTGGCTTAGTGGTAAGGACGTGTGCTGCCAACCCAGAGGTACACGGTTTGAATCTACCAGCTGCTCCACAAGAAAAGGATGGACGATCTCCTCCCACATGATTAACTGTGTCTGAAATTCCACTGGAGGGTTGGTTCCAACGCAACAACACATAATAACAACAATAGCAACAATAAGGGGTTGTCCAGCAAAGCTAGTACAATCAGTTTGTGCAATCAGAGGAGAGGGCTTAGGCTGACTCTAGCTCATTCACTCTCTGGTTTTAACAGTCAAGAAAGTAGACAGCTGGGAACTGGCCTAAACTCACCTAATTAATGACCGGTGCCCACAAAGAGTTAGGTCTACCATTGTACCCCGAAGTTTTCCCTACATCCTCAGCTACACCCCTGAGTCTTGCCCTGGGTTCTGGGAACTAACAGAGCCAACCTGTGCTCCAGACGACCCCCAGGTGACTCTGAGACTCCGGAGATGGGGAAGCCGACAGAGTGCAAACCCGACCTCCCACCCCAGACTCCGGAGGCTGCTAGAGCCGCAGGCCCCTCCTGGATGTGGATTCCGGGCGGGTTGAAGAGTTTTTCTGGGGAAATAAAATAATTGCGCGATTAGCTGGTGGCCAAAAGAAGAAAGCAAATGTGGATTGGGAGGCCCATTACAATGGTTGTTAGTGGCTGGTAGGGTGGGCGCTGGGCCATTGCCTTTGTCATGCAGAGCGAGGATCCGAGCTGTTCGAGCTGTTCGCTGGGTCTGACTCAGGCATCTGTGGGGTCAGGCTGGGTTTGTAAAGTAACCTCCCTTGTCTAGACTGGGAAGGGGATGTTTACAGAAGAGGGAGCATTGCTATGACATTACCATGAGGTTCTGACCCCAGCAGCCTGAGTCCTATGGGGGAAGCAGTGCCGGCTGATTCAGTATCTGGGGAAAGCTTTTTATTCTGAGATGTTAAGCTGTGAATGCTCTGACGGCAGGGTTAGTTGTTGTTATTGCTGTGTGCCATCAAATCAGAACCAACCCATAGTTCGCTGCCCAGTAGATTTTCACACAGGAGGAGAGTGCCCGTGTTTTTTTCTGAAGAGCAGCTG